GAAACAACATACATAAATATTTAAAATTTGTATGTCCAAAACGGTCATGCCACAATTGAACAGTTTGTGACGAAAAATCATAACGACAACTACTAGGTAAAATACTAGCATGTAAGCTAGGAACAGAAAAAGACAAAGCAGGTGCAGGTGATATAGGTGGAGGAATTGGTGAAACTGGAGGTGAATTGCCAAGATAATACAGTCCATCTTTCTCATGTCCCCTGATAATAATCCTCCTGGTACTCAGGTCCTGCAAATAACACGAATCAGATAAAAATACAACCGCACAATGAAAATCTCTGGCTAACTGATGTACAGATAATAGATTCATGGCCAACTTTGACGCATGAAAAACCGAACGTAATGTAAGATCATCTGGGAGGCGGACTGTGCCCCTACTAACAATAGGGGCATGTGTCTCATCTGCTAACTGAACTTGTGCATGTAATTGCTCGTCAAAAGTGGTGAAGTGATGAGCCTCACCTGTCATGTGACCATTCGCACCCGAGTCCAACATCCAAAGGGGAGATGAATTGACACAAGCGTGAAACGCACGAGGTATACCTGTAGTGGTGACAGCAGCGGTAGTCAGACTCTGAGAAGTTAGAGCAGACATAAGTATATCTAATCGGGAAGTGATAACATCAATGTCACTCTGCCAAGGTAGAGCAGCAGCAGCAGCAGGAATAGCGGTAGTGGGTGGTGGTACCTCAGCAATAACAATAGTACGACTGCGAGAAGACGACTTAAGCTCTAGATGGAGCTTCCAGCAAGTAGCCCTGAGATGTCCTGATCGGCCACAATAATCACATTGACGGGAATCCCCCTGTCTGCGCTGATCTGGGGCACCCTGACGACGCTGATCCGAGCGCTGCCCACCCCTGACTGAGGATCCTGAACGAGACCCTACAACAACTACAAGAGCCATCTGGTCAGCCGAAGGAGTCAAAGCCGCAACTGGAAGTGATGCAATACGGACTCGACGCTCATGCTGCTCAATCATCCCATACACCTCATAAAGAGAAGAAAGTGTCAACATCGACAAGATCTGAGAACGAGGTCCCTCAAACTCATCACGAAGCCCCATAA